TTTTGTCGCCGCGCGTCCAACTGAATGTAAATGACCGCCTTATATGTCTCGTCAAGCAGGCTSTTATACAAACATTTATTTTACCTATGGGTGCTCAAACATGGCCGTTGCCGTGCAGAGAAGTCCTAGTATTATTTAAAGGGGTATTCTTAGTAATAATCATAATTAATTACATCAATGTCTCACCACAATAACAACAAGAGCTGGAGCTACAAACGCCCAAATTAAGCTATTTCCTACAGATAACCAGCAGATGTTTGGCGGATCRCCGTACCCTCGTAATTCTGTGGCGAATAATGATATTGCTAATAGTAGTGAAGGAAAGCCTGAAAAAAACATTAAAATATTCATTCGCAAGAAATCGAATTAAAAAAATGCACTAGCATATTGAATCACGCTACATGCAGTTCATTTTTTACGTGTTCTGCACTGATTGTGTACTGAAAATTTCAAAACCGTTTTATCATTTTACCCCATCCAAAAACGTAGAGGGGCTTCTTGATATTCTTTTCTAAGCCCGTCATATCTATTTTGACGACCATCAGGTACAAAAGAAGTCCTTCGTTGAACATCCAGGAAAAAGCACTCAATAACCAGTAATGAAGAAGAATTGACAAGAACTTGCAGGCGACCTACATTTAGAATGAGAGATTGGTCAGAAGACAACCCTTTAAACCATAYTTAGAATAAATACATAAACAAAAATGACGAGAAATGCTTTGAAATCTCCATGATTGGTATAAAATGCTTAACACCAATTATGACTATTCGGAACTATCAAAGTCATTGGTACGCTACCGGGTTCTTTCTTGCTGGTTGCTCCACAAGTACCAGGAAGGACACGACTCCAATAGCCGCGCAAAGGTTTATGACAACCTCCATTCGTATTGATTTCAGCCTATTCCATTGCCAACGTATCGTTGCAAATGTAACAAAGACAGCAATTAAAGAAAYMGAGCATCCAATGAGTGATATAAAATCAAGGATCTTGTGATGAACACCGGGAATCTAYAAAGCAAGAAATATGGATAATTAATAAGTGTCTAGAAGTACCTCATATAAGTTTTTCGCGCCAWTAATTATTAGGCTGGATACGGTTTGTTTCCTAATCCCCTCGAGGGAGGAAAACAAAACCCAYAAACTTTTCAAATACATATCATCATKGACGAGGCAAAAAAGWGAATTTCTCKTGAATGCATCTTCTGATRTTAAAAATATTACTTGTATCTGTCCTTACCAGTATTCCATGAGGATCTATTAAACTAGAAAACAGTGTAAGATGATTACACGCGCATGTTGTTTTATCAAGATCTGTTTCATCATAGATCACGTGACAGCCTTCCGTGGTCCATGATGCATCGCGACTTTCAGGATTCCAAGATACACAAATTGGCATTGTCGATTTGTTAAGCTAAAATGAAGAATAATGGAATTTGAACAGGTACGCGGTTGTATTGTCAGAGAGAACGCATCTAATTCATAAAAATACCACCCATATCTACGGATCCCTGCGTGCAACTCAGTACCCCATCTATTAGAAAATGCATTTTTTTTATTTTGACAAAGGGTCTAAAATGCTCTTGCAATATATTTTTCGCTAGAGCGAAATGAACAAAGATTATAGATTCATAAAGATTCAKCGCTAAATAAAACAACTTACAAACTAACCTTTTTTTCGTCAGGGAGAACTATTTTCACAAATGATTTCCACAATGCAGACTTTCTCCTTGGAGTTACGGTACTTGAGACTATCATCGAAGTAACGTTTAAAGTTTCGTTGAATTTTTTATTCCCATCGACAGAATTTCGAAGAGGTAACTTTAATAACTTGCTGAGAGTTAAATACATAATTGTCACTTCGATGCTGGGCTCCGTGGTGCTGAACATTTCGGAAGGTAAAGAGATGGATGAATTATGATAGTTGAAGTTGACGGAATTCTGAAAAAATAACAACCAAGAATTGATATGCTCATATGTGAACGTTTTGATTGTGCACACTGCATAACATTATGTATAATAGAGAGGTCTTCCAATGTAGTCACATTTTGAATTTTTCTCTACTTAGGGACCGTTCATTAATTATGCCTGGGGAGGGTCTGGAGGAAACGTAGGGGGGAGGCTTTGAAAAATAAACAGACAATGAAGGGGGGGCTTTAATGGCATTTGCTGACTTGAAGGGGGGTTGAAACACAAAATTAAGGTATGCATAATATATAATATCAATATGTTTTATTCTTTTTATACATTTCTTATCAATGATCATTTTAAACAACAGCTTTACTTTCTTTATTATAGAAGTCTAAGTACAATTAATGTCTAATGTCTAAGTGCAATTTACTTGCTTTTTGTGACTCCTTTTAATTTCTTAAGATTAGCTATTTTACATTGCTTTAAACATATGGGGGGGACTATTTTTCCTCAATGTCAGAAGGAGGGGGGCTCGAAAAAATATTGTGATAGAGTTAGGGGGCTGCGAATTTTCCCACTGAGGTTTTTTTGACTTTTCCTCCAGACCACCGTGAGGCATATTCAATGAACAGTCCCTTAAATCAACAATTTTTAACAAACTGAAGCCGATTTCATCGACAACAATCATCATTACTGTYGAAGTAAATATAAAATGACTTGTAACCCAATCAGAAACTCTGATGACAGYACACGATGTCAATTGGACTTGAACCATTTTTGCGTTTCGTAGATTTTTTTAGTGGAGATCTATCTACTTCATTCTAGGAACATGGAAATGAACCGGTCCAGCAAACCATTACCCTGTTCCTTTCTGATGATTAGTCGGGTTGTGAACGATACTAGAGTTGTCTCAGGGATGGAGAAAGACTGAACCTTCATGAGGCGGAATTTTATCACATGGATTGCAACTACACTGAGAAGTATGTTGTGATGCATGGATAGAATAGGGCTTTCTAATTGAATTTTTTAGCATTTACTCTCATTATAAGGAAGAGCATATTTTTCGAAGCCTTTGGGAATGATGATAAGTGGAATTTGTCATTACTGCTAATTACCGAAAATCAGATACTTGTTACTATTCAAGGGAATAATTTACATATTGGCTAAAATTTTAAAACMAAATTTTATCAAAGTCTCGCCATGCTTGGGAGAACGCAAAAACATCAAATGTTCGTAAAAAAAACCCTGAGAAATCTGGTGATAAATCCATTTGTAATCGTTCATTTCACTTAACATGGTTGGCACCTGTCAACTACGTATAACTGAGGGCCTGATTATATGAAGCAGGATGTCCCGGTTAACTTGGATGATTTTTTTTTTTTATTTCCTCTAGGGAAAAGATAAGGGGAGAAAGTGTATCGGAACTGGTTAGCATCTGGAAAATAAAATAGCTACCTCAATGACGGGGTCGACAACATTCATTTTAATCACCAGATTCTTGCATTCAACGACTACAGGATCATTTGTTGATGTGTTGGCATTTGCCGAGGCATTTGCCACCATAGCTCCAATATCATCTAGAGTTTTCACTAAGTTTCTCACAGGATTTGAAAAGTCATCTTTCTGTATGTAAAAGTAAGTATCTGTGAATTATCAACATTGTATAGAGTAATCAGAGTCGACTACTACTGTACTGTCATAACGAATTWTAGGATTAYGTTAAAAAATGATCTTGTAGCTCAGCTGGTAGAKCATYGGTAGTACAAATCAGAGGGTCGTGGGTTCAAATCCCAACGAGGTCGGAAATTAATTTTTCCGAATTTATTTCCTAGGGTCTTTCTCCCGAAATAACCTCTTTGCTAGCACTATACACCCTTTTAATAAGTCCCGAGGTATTGTGTTCTCCGCACTTGACGTCAAATTTATTCTTTTGAATTCCTATTGTATTTGTATTGTAAAAATTTCAAAAGAATAAATTTGACGTCAAGTGCGGAGAACTCAATACCTCGGGACTTATTAAAAGGGTGTATAACTTTCCTTTATTTCTATATTATGTTAAATATTAATGCCTATTGTTCTATTGGGCATCTTTGTTTTTTTTTGTGTTGCCTGTTTCTCTTTGTTATTTCATCAAATTACAATCTTTGTTCTAACAGTAGTGTACACCCCCTTTATCCACGAAACATGAATATTATGTAGATATGGGCTAAATGACATTTGTTTCATGGATTGTACCTGAAGATGTAACCACATTTCAGCATAAGCTAAATCCAGTAGATTACTTCCTGTATTGATTAATGTCCTGGCATTCTCTTCCTTCTTCAAAAACTCGTTTGATTGGTTGAATTGCATTAAAAAGTTCACAAACTCTTCAAGTTTTGATACAGAGGAATTTAGCTTTTGACTGGTCATGGATGATGCATTTGAAACACTTGTGTTGTTAAGGTCTTCAAGAAGAGATTGCAAGAGAAGAGTTGATAGCGAGCGTTCATCAGATTCTTCCAAATGTTTTGTCTACAAATATTTNATTCAAATTCAGTGATAAATGAAGATAAATAACCCAAGAATTCAACCAGTGGCAAAGCTAACAGTACTATGGAAAAGAACACCGAGAGCGAATGGAAAGGGAGCTGTACCTTAGCTTAGGGCGTGGTAATGGATATGAGTGCATTGTATTACGTTTTCCGTAAAATAACTATCAAAGTAAATTAGGTGAATTAGTGTRAATTCGTTTATCATCTATTGTTTAACGAGTGCAATTTCTTACAAACTTTTGCACTCTAATTAAACAATAGGGTTAAATAGGTTAAATCGAGGGCATTATGCTGTTTCATTMCGAAAAACCAACAGTCTTGTTTTGAAGATCATCAACCATTTCCAAAAGGGCACTTATTACAGCATACTGAGATTTAAACTGCTCTATGGTTTTTGTTATTTAACAACGGCGGACTCTTTACACTATTATAATTCAACAACAAATTTCCCTACGCTCTCATTGGTCAAAAGTCGACCTCGTGACGCGATAATGCCCGCCGCAGAGGGCAACTATCTGGAGCTCGTGCCAGTACAGAAATAATTGTTGTTGAATGTTCAAAAAATAGAACAGTTGAATATCGGGCATTTTTTTCTGTGATAGTTGACTTTGGAAAATGGACGCTTCTCAAAACATTCTCGGACGACTATTTATTTTTCGGCGAACAACAAGTTTCCAGCACAAAACCCCGGATGTAACTACTCTGTTTATAAAATAGTACCTCGTTCACAATCTTGATGCATTCCGTTAAGTTGACATTTCTATCCCATTTAGCTGGTGCCCTACCCCTTGCGTTATGCGGCGGGAGTTTTCTGCAGTATCGTGAAGCGTAACCTGCAAAATGATTTTAAAAGCCGATATGATTTGAATCTTCAAAAAATAGGTATATATAAACTATAACTTTCTTTGGATATAATCAAATTTTCTTTTGATATCACTGATTCATTGCAGTAACCTTTTATGACGAAAACAATTAACACTTATTTACTGGAACCGAGGGAA